GCTTCAAGCTGCCTGCCTGCCGGCCGCCATCTTGGCTGGCAGTTAATTTGCATATCTCACTGATTAGCCAATGGGAAGGGTAGCGGCTGTACGGCTAATTACCATGTTTCTCTTTTATTAGATAGGATAAGTTTCCCCAAAGTACATGTAAGTATGATAAAACATGAAGTCAATAAACACCTCTTTGGAACTAAAAGAAATTTTAGTTGTTAAAGCTACAGAAATTGTTAGGGCTCTAATTTTTCCCTCAGATCTAGAAGCTAAGAAGTTTTGTGGTGATGTAGAGGGAATGAGCATTAGAGAGGATAAGAAAATATGCATTGCAAATTTTGCAATACCTGTGGTATTCTTCACTAACCTTAACTTTTTACCTCTTCTCACTTTTTAGGTGGAGTTAAGAAAATTTTAAGATAATTTTAGGTATTACCCTTTGGATAAAGTCTGAGATAAATGAATTCTTTTCTGTTTTTTTTTGTTTTACTCAGATAATGAAACTGCTGTTTATACATTAATGCCAATGGTTATGGCTGATCAACACAGGTGAGTTTCTATTTTACAAATTTATACTTTTTGAGAGGTATAAATTTATCTAAATGTCGTGTACTAATATACACACATGTACGCATGCACACGTGCATACACACACACAGTTTGTTCATAGATGTTGTCCTGGGGCAAGTTATTTAACCTGTTATAATTTTCTGTCTGTGAATTAAGAAAAAAGATTTTCTGAGATCTGATGGTAAGAGATTTTCTAAATGAATAGTCAGATATTAAGTCAGGTATTTGGTTGGTCATATAAGGTACAGTTATCTGACTGTGGGATGAGGTGTTTACACTTGCAGCAGACAGCTCTGCTATGGTTAGCCATTAGGTAATTTGGTGTAGTGAGAAGAAAGTGAAGGAAAACTATATTTTGAAACAAGTTTTTTGCTTTAAACCTCCTATCTGATATTATTAAAATGTGTTTTTTTGTCTTTGATTTTCTTATTTGGACAAAATTAATATACATGGGCTCAGGTTTCTGCAAGGGAAGCAGCCAGCCCTACTCTCCTTATTTCTCAGTATTCTAGGGGAGCCCGGCCGGTGTCATTCAGTGGTTCAGTGTTGACCTATAAACCAGGAGGTCACGGTTAGATTTAGTCATGCCCTGTCCAGATTGTGGACTCCATCCCCAGCAGGGGGAATGCAGGGGGAAGCTATTAGATGATTCTCCATCATTGATGTTTCTATCTCTCTCCCTCTCCTTTCCTCTCTGAAATCAATGAAAACATTATATATATATTAGAAGCCCGCTGCACTAAGATTCGTGCAATAGGCCTTCCTTCCCCTGGCTGCCGGCACCCGTTTTCCTCCGGCACCCGGGACCCAGGCCTTTGGTCCGGCTGCAGCGGAAAAGCCAAACTTCAAGGCTTGGCTTCTCCCCTGTGGCCGCTTCAGTCTTCAGTCTTCAGTCTTCGCTCAGTGCCTGCGTATGCAAATTAACCACCATCTTTGCTGGGTTAATTTGCATACTCCTCTGATTGGCTGGTGGGCTTAGCAGAGTGACACCAATTTGCATGTTTCTCTTTTATTAGTGTAGATAGAATAT